TCAGGTCCAAAATGCATAAAGCATAAACTGCGGCCTCAGGCCCAAAGATGCATAAAGCATAAACTGCGGCCTCAGGCCCAAATACATGTGTTCAACATTCAGGAACTAAGAATCAAACCTCAATACATGATAGTGAAATACTGAATCACACTGAGTTACATGATACTCGAATACTGGATCACACTGAGTTACATAATACTGGAATACTGAATAGAACTAGACTGAGACATGTATTCTTGAACTGGTTATGAACACTGAAACTTCAACTGTTTAAGGCATACTGAGTAATCTATACTAATACTCAGGGGCATCAAACCCAAGTCTATATTGAATACGCACTGAGCTCACAACGTTCAGAATGAAAGTCATGATTGAGTAATGAAGCTAGAGAATAGAAGTTCTGCAACTATTCGAGGAACTAGGCTTAACTATACTTCTGAGGCAATTGGTAACGTCGTAATAGAAATGTAGTGTAGGGCGAATCATTAAAATTTCCAAACATAGAGAGTTAGCATCACATACCTTAACTTCCTTCTCTTGAGCGTAATACAATGTTTGTCAACCCTTTCAACTTTAATCTATAGCAATACAAGTCAAAGAGATTCCATATTAGCTATGATGCTCATGTTTTGGTCACTTAAGTATCTTATCAAACACTTGGTGATAATAAAGCTTCATAGTCCTTATTAATGGTGTCTCTACACCCAATAACCCATTCTCTTGTTCCTAGATAAATTCTAAAGTCTCAAATGGTTATAATCAACATTATTCTTTATCACCCATAAAGTAAACAACACCCTTAACCAATAATCAACAATCAACACCCCAAACCTATAATCGTTCATGCTTTTCTATCAAACCCATCAACTCATATCTCATGAACAAGGGTTTAAAATCATTAAACCAATGCTAGAATTAATTAGAGGGTGAAGACATTACCTTCTTGACGTTCAGTCTTCTTGAATTCGAGTTCTAGGGTTCCTTATCTCAACAATGATGCCCCAATGAAATATCTAATGATATGGAGGATTTACCCATGTTAATAAGTTGTTAGGGAATTGAAATTAACTTAGAATCGCCATTAAAACATACCTTGGGTGGTGGAAGGACCCTTAAGGAGTTAGGTTTTTGAGAGCTTTCCTTTCTAGAGCATGTTTTTATGTTTTGGAGCTGTGGGGGACGAAGTAGGGCTTTAAAACGACCCCCCACTAGCGCTCCCGTGCACCTGAAGACCTGGCCGCACTATTGACCGCGCAAAACGGCAGTAACACTGCCTCAAGAGAAGCGCGGCCGCGCTAGGGGCGCGTCCTGTAGCGCGCATATCGCATACTGTTCTGTAAAACGCGCATAACGTTTTGCACAGAGATCCGTTAAGCTCCATAATATATCGTTGGAAAGCTATTTCAATGGCCTACAACTTTCTTTCTTTAAGTTTTCCCATGTTCCTTACACATTTTCACTAAAACCTGCTGGAAGACAGACCTTCTGCAAACTTAGTCGATTTTGTCAAATCTTATGCACCTCACTTTCCATCTTGATTTTGAAACAAATATTTTCACCCATAATCATCCCGATGGGACTTCACATGTCCGAAATATAACCTTACTACTCCTTTAACTCAATCATACCTAAGCCAAATTTACTGGGTGTTACACTAAACTTCCAAATACATTTTGGGCAGAAGCACTTAACACTGTTTCCTATGTTATCAATTTGTCTCCTACTGTTGCTTTGGATGGTGATGTCCTAGATAGAGTTTGGTTTGCCAAAGATATTTCTTATGATCACCTAAGAGTTTTTGTGTGTAAAGCTTGTGTGCATGTTCCTAATGATGAGAGATCAAAACTGGATGTCAAAACTAAGCAGTACATCATTGTTGGTTACAATCAAGATGAGTTTGGGTATCGTTTGTATGATCCTATTGACAATTAACTTATTAGAAGTCGTGATGCAATATCCTTTAAAGACCAGACTATTGAAGATATTAACAAAGCTGAAATAGATTCTTAGAGTAATGAGAGCTTAGTTGATATTGATCCAGTTTCTATTAGCAAGGCACCTATTGCACATGATCGAACCCAAGACAATAATGAAGATAGTGATCAAGGTTAAAATGATCATCATGGTATATATGTTATGGATGCTCCAGTTAATGAAGTTGTAGTTTATCAATAACTAATTCTTGCTCAGGTAACTAATTTGAATGCACCTGAAACCTCTCTTAGATGATCTACAAGGGAGAAGAAAAAATCCATGTGCTATCCTCCTGATGAATATGTACTTTTGACTGACATGGGAGAAACTGAGAACTATGATGAAGCCGTGAAAGAAACTCACAAAGATCAGTTGATAGAAGCCATGGAAGAGGAGATGAAGTCACTCCATGAGAATGGCACATAAGAGTTAGTGAAATTGCCAAAAGGTAAGAAAGCTTTATCAAACAAATGAATATTCAGAGTAATGCAAGATAATCATACCTCTGCACCTAGGTACAAGGCGAGGTTAGTTGTTAAAGGTTTTATCCAGAAGAAGGGAGTTGACTTTGATGAAATGTTCTCCCCTGTTGTGAAGATGTCTTCTATCCGTGTGGTTCTAGGCTTATCCGCAAGTCTAGATTTAGAGGTTGAGCAGATGGATGTCAACACTGCTTTTCTTCATGGTGATTTAGATGAGGATATTTATATGGAGCAGCCTGAGGATTTTGTAATTAAGGTAAAAGAAAACTATGTCTCCAAATTGAAAAAGAGCTTGTACGGATTGAAACAAGCTCCAAGGCAATGGTATTTGAAGTTTGAATCTGTCATAGAAAAACAAGGGTACAAGAAAACATCTTCAGACCACTGCGTATTCTTCAAGAAGTTCTCTGATGATAATTTTATTATCTTATTACTTTACGTGGATGATATGCTTATTGTTGGCAAGAATAAATCCAGAATTGCAGTCCTTAAGAAGGAGTTGAGCAAATCGTTTGCGATGAAGGATTTTCGGCCAGAAAAAATCTTAGGCATTCAAATACACCGATACAGAGATAGAAAGGAGTTACTTTTGTCCCAAAAGCGATATATTGAGAAGGTACTCAAGAGGTTCAATATGATAGAAGCAAAAGTAGTTAGTACTCCTCTTGCTAAACACTTCAAATTGAGTATTAGTAAGAGTCCATCTACTGATGAAGAGAAAAAGGAGATGTCTCGTATTCCTTACTCTTATGTCATTGGTAGCTTGATGTATGCTATGGTTTGCACTAGACCAGATATTGCACATATCATTGGTACTGTTAGTAGATTCCTTTCTAACTCTGGAAAGAAAACATTGGGAGGCAGTAAAATGGATATTACAGAATTTGAAAGGTACTGCAGATTTGAAGTTGTGATTTCGTAATGGTAAGCCTGAACTTGTTTGTTACACAAACGGTGATTTAGGAGACAATCTTGATAATTCAAGATCCACTTCCATTTAATTGATCACTTTCGTAGGGGGAGCTGTTTCTCGGTAATTTGAACTACAAAAGTGCATAGCTCTATCCACAACGGAAGCCGAATATATTGATGTCATAGAAGGTGCAAAAGAAATATAATGGATGAAGGAGTTTATTAATGATCTTCGCATCGAACATCCAATGTAAATCTTATTTTATGATAATTAGAGTGATATTTTTCTTACCAAGCACTCAACTTTTCATTCTAAGACCAAACATATTAATAGAAAGTATCATTGGATAAAAATGACCATGGAAGAGAAATTATTTAAGATTGAGAAGATACACACTGATGAGAATCCTTCGGAGATGCTGACAAAAGCGGTGGTTGCAGATAAACATGAATTTTGCAGAAATAGGCAGGTATGAAGCCTGTCAATAGTTCCTTTACTTGAAGACATATTTGGCCCCTTTGTTGGAGGGGGAGTTTATCGGGCCCATGCCTATGTTGTCCAGCCATAGACCCAATGGACTAATCCAATTCTCTTTTGGTTTCCATTCCTATTCGGAATTGAATTCGATTTTTGTTCTTATTTAGAGTTGGTTTTGGCTTTAAGAGAAAACACCACTCATTATCTATAAATATGACAACCTTGAAGAATTGTTCTATGCTCATTGGTGCAAGTCTTTGAAAGACTTGAGCACATAAGAGTGATTTTTAAGAGAGCTTTCATCAAGAGAGAAGAGAGAAGAAAACTATTGATTTTGCTGCAGATTTGTATTCCGACCAACCAACTTCAAATCATATTTTTCGATTCGTTAACCGTTGGAACGGGCTCAAATTTTTACTGAGTGCTCATAACATCTTGGTCTTTGATTTGAATGGTGAAGATCGGATTTAGAGGCTCCTAGAATATGATTTTGAGCCCCGAGCATCAGCTCTAGTTTTGTGGATTCTCTTCATTCTTCAATTTATTTGTCGTTGCTCTTGTTGCTGCGTGGTTTGGGACTTGTTGTGTAGCTAATTAGGAGAACCTTTATAACTCTCTTATTGTTATAGTGGTGTTTTTAAGATCTTTGTGATCTCGTGGTTATTACCTTCAATTTGAAGAGTTTTCCACATTAAAATTTGAAATACTTTATCTTCTTTACTTTTAGGTTTGTCTCTTCCTCGACATAACAAAAGCAAACAATCTCCATTGTTTTGAAGCTGTAGGAAAGGTTGAAGTTGTAGGAAAGGTTAGAAATAGACGTGACATGATCTCCTGTTTTGGGCTTCTATCGCACCAACACCTTGATGGAAAATAAAAACCCATCCTCCCTACTACATCATGAATGGATAGTTTGTAGTTCCAATAGCACTTCTATAGTATCTTAGAGTGCCGAAGTAAAAACTAAGAGGAAAAAAATAGTTGTATGGGTTACTTGATTTGGTGATCGAGTTAAAACCAAAAGGGAGTGTTCATAGTTTGTGATCGGGGAAAAACCAATCTGATAAATTCATTGTTGGATGATCGAGTGAAAACCAACCTAGTTACTTTGGAGGTGAACATGGAAAAAATATCCAAGTTGTACTAAAATCAGATTCCTTAAAATTCTCATAGTATAAGCTCCCTTGTAACCCAAGAGGATTGGATTATATACAATCAAAATACCATGGCTCTTTACTTTATTATTACAATTCTAGTTTCGAACTTAATTTCTTCAAAGAACTCACGCTTATCTTCTGCAGTTACAGGAATCAATGTTTTAAGTCAACTAAATTGAGTAAATTTTATTCTACACAATTCACCTCCTCTTGTGTTTTCAGCGGATAGCTTGTGTTTTCCTTTTTGTTATTGAATATTGTATTTGCTATAAAAATGTGAGTATGCACATCATACACACTCACATACACATATATATAGTTTAGTACTAGACATTATTTTTAGTAATACATCTACCAAACAACCCCTTGGCGAAATTAAATACCATAACTACTTTACTTTGACCTTTTCATCCCCCATATACTTAATTCAACTTTATTCTTATTCCACCAAGGGAGGAATGCTTTGTTCATTCCTAAAAAAGTTTGAAGGATCCACCTTAGTTTTCACTTGCACCAATCTATCAAAGTTGTTTTTGAAATACTTAATTCCCCAAACCTTAGCTTGTGCATAACTTGTGTTTGCCTTCTTGTTGTTCACTCCAATATCAAGATCCCTATAATTAATATAAGCACCTCGTGGGGATGCAAAAACTAATGGTTTCATATAGGCATAAAGCCTTCTCATCCAACTCATGTGCCTTTCAGCTTCTTCTTCTCCTTCTTCATCCCAAAACATTAGGTATTGGATTTCATACAAATTTCCAGGTCTATGTGGAAATGGAAGCTCATACTCTGAAATCTCATCCATTCTACCACCATATGGAGTCAATATCATTTGTTCAAACATAGCTTCACTTGCATTGAAAAATTCCCATATCCCTTCTAGTTGTTGTACTGAGATTGGCTTTTGCACGTAGTCCGCTTTTGCTTCTGAGTAAAGTGTTGGTGGTAAACCTTTAGTTAATAGAACATCAAGAGATTCACCTCTTGGGAACCCTGCATAATATAAAGTAGATTCAATCCAGCTCATCTCAATGCAATTTTCTCTTGTTAATCCCAATTCAGGGAAGTTTTCTTGCATGATATGAAGTAATCGGTCGATTTCACCGAGGAATATAGAGATGAATGAAGCTAGGAATATATTTTTTTCATTATGGATGAGGATTCTAATGTACAAATCTTTATGGAACTTCGATGAGACATATTGCCATTTGTGCACAAGTTTTGTGGCATTTTGTTTCAAGGTTTTGTCAATAGTGAAGACTACTACCTTTTCAGGAACATCCACCAATTTGATTTTCCATGCAAGAACAAGTCCAAATGTATTACCTCCACCTCCTCTTATAGCCCAAAAGAGATCTTCCCCCATTGATTTCCTATCAAGAATCCTTCCATTAGCGTCTATTAAACGTGCATCGATAACATTATCTGCTGCTAAGCCATATTTCCTAAGCATAACCCCACTGCCACCTCCACTAGTATGACCACCAACACCAACGGTCGGACAAACACCTCCTGGAAACCCTAGGGTTTTACTTTTCCTCGATATTTTATAATAGAGTTCGCCAAGAGTGGATCCTGTTTCAACCCATGCAGTTTTATCATCAACATTGATAGTGATGTTTCTATGGCCAATTAGATCAATTAGGACACATGGATCCTCTGATACATAAGAAAGTCCTTCATAATCGTGCCCTCCACTACGAACCCTAATATGTATGCTACTTTCCTTAGCACAAAGTATGACTCGTTGGATTTCAGCTTCACTAACTGGGGTCACAATTACAAGAGGTTTAGGGGTTTTCGTCGTATTGAACCTAGGGTTTTGTAGGGAGAATTGTAAAACGGATGAGTAATTTTTGTTGTTTGGGGTGTAGGTGGGGATTTTTTGGTCACTAACAGATAAGCATTGAAGGAACTTCTTATGAACATCAGTTGAAGCTGCACATAAAGATGATGAGAAAATAAGAAGTGAAAGATAGGAAAGCAATGACATCGTCATTTCTTTGTGTTTGAGAAAGAATATTGCAAGAACCTCTATTTATTTCCCTCTTGCACCCACGCTACCAAATAATTGTTCCTTAATCTCAAATTTAGATTTGAATTTGGTAAAATTAAAGGGTTTTGCTAACCTAACTTGGACCAATTTTAATATATATAGAAGAACACATTTTCCTCGTCCCATTTGGATCTTAGTTGCAAAACAACCATTTGGCACCACTTAATTATGAAGATTAAAAATGAATAAATATTGCTGGCTTGCTCAATTTAAATTTCCAAATAAATGCATTCACGAAGGAAAGCAAAATCAGCAATGATTTCTGTAGAGTTAAACAATCTTTTTTGGTAACTTTTTATGTTACTAGAGATAAATTTATTAACTAAGAGAAAAGGAAATAAAATAAATTTTATTCCGGAATTAGGGGTTCTAAAATATATAATCTTAGGGCAGCCACAAGCTGTCTCTCTCTAACTCGTCTTCCTCGCGCCTAGGGCAGCCATGGCTGCTGCGACCTCTCCCCAACCTTTGGTTGTGGGAGAGGTAACACAAACGACACAACAAACAGTTACAAACAATCACCCAAAGCAAACCTACGCTGCGTTATTACGACAGAACAAAGTTGCTGCTGCTGCATCGTCAAAACTGGAATTATATCCAGTGCATATGGTTCATGGTGAACCAACGATACAATTCACTGTCGCAGAGGTGAATTCTTTTACTATCGAGGAGGGGCTGCATCAAGCAGTGATTTTAAAATTCTCTTACGGAAAACCAGAAATTCAAGAATTGCGGCAGATTCTTCCAAAACAACTCAACGTTAAAGGATATTGCAATATCGGACAGCTCGAGTATCGACATGTTCTCGTTAGGTTTGATTTATTTGAAGATTATGTTCAAGTTCTTTCACGATCAACAGGTTTTGTAAAGTCGAAAGGAGACGACTTCTTTTATAGAACTTTTCCATGGACGATAAGCTTCAATCCTCGCGAAGAAACTACAAAAGCAGTAGTTTGGATTTCCTTGCCAGAATTGCCTGCTAACCTTTTCGCAAAGAGATGTTTGATGTCGATAGCTTCATCAGTTGGTAAACCATTAGCGATCGACAAAGCAACGCAGGAAAGAACACGTCCAAGCACTGCTAGGGTAAAAGTCTTGTTAGATCTTTTGGACAACCATCCTAAAAGAGTTAGGATCCAAATCATGGATAACAATACTGGAAAACTGATCGAGCATTATCAAAAGATTGTATATGACAATCTTCCTAAGTATTGCATATGTTGTAGTCATCAAGGACATGACGAAAAATCATGTCGATTGAAAATCGAGGAAAGCAAGGATGTGGCAGATCATATGAATGAGCATGAAGGGTTACAAAGACTGGACAAATTGAAAGGTGATGCTAGGGACTACTTGAATGCAAAACGACNAATTGGGGTAACCAAGGTAACAATCAAGGCAATTGGAACGGGAACAATAATAATTTGAGCAACAACAACAACAATCAAGGAGGGTGGAATAATGGCGGAAATAAAGGCAACCGGGGGCAAGGCTTTCAAAGGCCCCCCATGTACCAACAACCGAACAATCCACCCCCCTTTCAATCTTAAGGGTCTAGTTCTTCAGGTAGTGATATGGGGAGGATAGAAATGATGTTCGAACAAATGATGAAAAAGAACCAAGATTCCGATGCACAATTGGCTTCTCATAATACATCTATCCGGAACCTAGAAGTGCAACTAGGCCAAATTTCTCAAGCTTTGAATACTCGGCCTAAGGGTGCTCTACCAAGTGATACTGTAGTGAAGCCGAAGGGAGGTAACAATCATGTTATGGAAGTTACAACAAGAAGTGGTAGAGGCGGTGATGTGCATGCCTCGAATGAAAATCGAGTTGTGAATGATGATGTTGGATTCCTAGAAGATGTGGGTCCTTTGATTGTTGAAGATGTGGTTGAGACAAATGTGAACAATGAAGTGAGGATAGATATTGATGAAGCCGAGGTTGACACTCAAGAGGTCGTGAACCCGTCTAGGGATCACATAATTGACATGCCGGAGCCGGTGGTGCCAAAAGCCAAGGCACATTTGCCTAGACCACCTCCATCTTATCCTCAATGGTTAGCAAAGCAAAAGAGTGACAATCAATTCAAGAAGTTCATAGATATGATGAAAAGCCTTACAATCAATGTGCCTTTGGTGGAGGCACTTGAACAAATGCTGGGCTATGCAAAGTTCATGAAGGATTTGGTCACAAAGAAGCGTTCCATGGATTGTGAAACAATAAAGATGACTCACCAAGTTAGTGCGATAGTGAATTCTATGGCCCCGAAACTTGAAGACCGTGGAGCTTTTACTATCCCTTGCACTATCGGTAGTGCGGAGTTTGCTAAGGCCCTTTGTGACTTGGGGGCTAGCATTAATTTGATGCCTTATTCAGTCTTCAAGACTTTGGGAATTGGGCAACCTAGGCCAACCTCGATGAGACTTCAAATGGCGGACTGGTCGATGAAGCGACCTTTGGGTATAATTGATGACGTTCTTGTCCGGGTGGTCAAATTCATCTTGCCGGCCGACTTTGTTATATTGGATTGTGAAGTGGACTTTGAAGTCCCGATCATTCTTGGGAGACCTTTCCTAGATACGGGGAAGGAATTGGTTGATGTCGAAGCGGGAGAGTTGACATTCCGAGTGGGTGATGAGAAGGTTGTTTTCCCTGTATGCAAGTCTCGGCAACCTAATGGCACCGAGGTATGCTCATTTGTTGACATTGTCACAGCTGTGATAATGAATGAGACAAGTTCTGTGATTAATGTTGAAGATCCCCTTCTGGTCGCACCTCTAGATCGTAATGTAAATGATGATGCAAGTAGAGTCATGTGCATAAATGCTTTATATGTCATGGAATTGTTTGAGCCCAGTAAATTGTCATTGGACCTTGATCACCGGGAAACTCCACTAGAAAAGCCAACAATTGAGGTGCCTCCGGTATTGGAAGTGAAACAAGTTGAGTCACACCTTTGGCTCACAATTTTTGAGCCCGATATTATCTTGAAGGATGATGCAACACCTCTTTTGGAGCTTCAAGGGAGACTACCTGCAGTAGAGCATGAAATGATGCCTAATCTCCATAATGTGTGGCATCCTACAAGACCAGATACAGGTTGGCGGTTTTGCATGAACTATGGTAATTTGAACAAAGTGCCCCACAGTGACTATTATCCCATGCCATTCATTGATCGGATGGTTAACAAACTTGTTGGGCGAGCTTTTATTTGCTTCATGGAGAATTTGATGAGAGACACATGGTGGCGCTTCTTGATTCGAAGTGATTTAATGGTAACATGCGTCGTGTCGCGACGTTAAATCAGGCGCTTCTTGGGAGGCAACCCATGTCTTTTTCTTTCTCTTTGATTTTCTTTGTAGCTTAGGATTTTTGAGCTAATTGTTTGTGAGATGTTGCAGGGATTGTGTTGAAGCAGTGCAAAACAAAGGAGAAAAATGACAGTCTCTGAAGTTCTCCACGCGGCCGCGGTCCTTTTATTGCGGTCCGCATTGGACCTCCGCAGCCGCGTTCCATTTTTATCCGGCCCGCGGAGGCTGGCTTCTGAAACCTCTTTGAGACAAAACCCATCGCAGTCTGTGGTCGCTTTTGTGCGGCCGCGCTGGTAGGTAAGTAAGGGGCCCACGGGTTGTCTATAAATAGAGACCAAGGGTCTCATTGTACCCTATTTGCAATTTGAAAACCCAGAGCCCTAATTCTACTGTTCATCTTTTCCTGAGACCAATCTTCTTGCTTGTTAGGATTAATTTCATTCAATCTTCACATACCTGGTAACATTTCATGCCTTTGTGTTTTTAATTTCATATTTTCAATTTTTATTTGCTTGCCAGTAGTTGTAACTTCTTTCTTTCTTTCCGCTTTTCTTGGATTTGTTAGTTAGGATAGTTTATATGTTGGGTTTTTTGTGCTGAGTGTGATTCAATGTTGGGTAAATGAGTAGGGACAAGTAGTAGTCTAAAATTGAACAAAAATGGAAGAAAACAAGAATCCCTAACTTAGTTCCCTAATTCTGGCTCAGCGCGGTCCACGGTCGCATTAGCGCGGTCCGCGGGGCCCAGACGCGGTCTGCATTGCCTTTTTGCACAGACCGCAGTACTTGAAATGACAAACACAAATTGCTTCCAGCGCAGCCGCATTACACGTTGTGCGGTCCGCGCTGACCCACCGTGACCGGGACCCCATTTTGTGCGGACCGCGGTGAGAGATTCAGAGAAGTGTTTTCTGGGGCCTTGTTCAGTGCAGCCCGCGGTCGCCTTAGCGCGGTCCGCGGTGCCTGATTCTGCAGCATTGTCTGCAACATATTCTTCTATTGTCTGTAACTTTAATTCATTTACCTGTTTCACCACCTGTGTTTAAACTAACAATGCTAGATGTGTTTGCTTGCAGACAATGGTAAAACAACGAGGACGAGGTGCAAAACAACCCGGCCGAGGTGACTCCTCCCGGGGAGGAAAGGGGAAACAAGTTAAACTCGCTCCCCGACCTAAACTGAAAACAAGGAAACAAGTTGTTATAGATGATGACCAATCAGGGAGTGAGTACGTATCCTCTCAAGATCTCTCTTCTGACTCAGAGCCAGCTCCCTCAGTCCCAGTTTCACCTACGGCCCAAGCTCCACAACGTGCACCTTATGAGTCGTCTGATGGCTCAGCAGCAGGCAGCGGTGAATACTCCACCTCCCCCACAGCTTCAGTATCTGGGGAGAGTGCAGAAGGTGAGACTAATAGTGATGATGAGGTGCTAGACAGTGGTGTGCCCCGGGTTGGGGTATTGAACGAACTAGAAAACCTGAAGTCTGGGAAGATCGATTTTTCGGTCAAGTGGCATTTCATAAGTTTAGGGAATGGTGGTCAGTACGAAAATTGATTACAGAGAGGAGTATCATCAGAAGTGACCTACTGCCCTTACTTCTAAATGTCCATAGACAGTTTCATACCAGAGTGGGATGGGAGCATTTTCGGGATGATTTAAT